AGAACCTGGTGGGCTCTGCCATGGCAGGAAGTATTGGGGGTTACAACGCTCATGCTGCCAACTTAGTGGCTGCCATTTACATCGCGTGCGGACAGGTATGAAATGTTGCTGCCAAACATATGCATATCAGTTTGCAGAATAGTGTAGGTTGTCACTGTTGTAAGATAATTTCGTATTTAATCAAAAAGACATTTTGGTTGATTTTTATTGGTGCTATGAAATGTTCATGCACTTTAAACTTCAACTGGCCTTTTGAAACGGTACAAAAAATACCATTTGATACCATGTTTTCATATGACAGTGATATATAAGTGCTATAACAAAAAAAAAAGAACTTTAAAAGTAATTACAGATGTTGTTGTGGCAGGATCCCGCTCAGACAGTGGGCAGCTCTAACTGCATCACTTTGATGGAAGCATCAGGCCCCACAGGAGAGGATCTCTACATTAGCTGTACCATGCCCTCCATAGAGCTGGGCACGGTGGGAGGAGGAACCAATCTGGCACCCCAGCAAGCCTGTCTTCAGGTATTTATGGCTTTACTAACCTCTATTATACCTTAATTTAGAAGGCTCTGCTAGATGTATTACGTCTTATGCTTTATTAGCAAAGTCCTTGAATGATAAACACAATAAAAGTGGAAGAAGGTTTTATTTGTGTAGTCATAAAAGCTGATGATTTTCACATGCTCCTCTCAGATGTTAGGCGTGCAGGGTGCCAGTGAGGCGCACCCAGGTGAGAACGCCCGGCAGCTTGCCAGGGTAATTTGTGCCACAGTGCTGGCAGGGGAGCTGTCACTCATGGCTGCCCTCGCTGCCGGACACCTGGTCAAAAGCCACATGACGCACAATAGGTGAGTAGATATGAATTTCTGAAAGTATGAGCTAAACCTCTTGAACCCTAGGGTTATTATTCAGTTATTATTCAGTAACTACTATAAAACATGTAAGTTATGTAATATTGGCTGTAGGGATCTAAAGTGAAGGCCTAAATAAAGGTCCCTAAGATTTAAGTCACGTGTCAGACTCCAGTCCTTGCGGGCCACAGCACTGCAGACTAAAGCACACTGCCTCAATAAAAGCACCTGAAGTAACTCCTCAGCTATTAGGCCTTCGTGAACTTAAATCGGAGTGTTAGACGAGGGAAAACGCTAATCTTCTTGGAGCTGTGTCCTGGAAGGAACCTAGTTTGACATGCCTGGTTTACAGAGGTTAAAATGTTTGAACCTTACTTGGATTGCACAGTTTTATTATTAGACTTTAAGGAACGTTCATTTTGAATGATCCTATCTGATAGAGCTTAAATCTTTCTTTTTTAGGTCAAAAGTAAATTTGCAGGAAACACCAGGAACCTGCACAAAGCAAGCATCATGAAACCCAATCAAATGCTGGTGGGGGGCTAAAATGTGGAAGACAAACAACTTAAAGGGAAGGAGTCTCTAGGAACATTTCATTACATTTACTGAAGAGGACTTCACCGAAGATGGACTACAGAACTGGTTCCCACTCCAGCAGAAAACAGCTTTCATTGTCATTTGCAGAGTGCCGATCCTGAATCATCTCAAAAGACTGCTGAAATCACTACTGTTCTGTACTGTAGTGTACTGTTCTGACATTTTACTTACGTATCTCAGAACTAATGCTCATTGCCTTCAGTGCTTGTTGGATGCACACACATCATAGTAATTTATTTTTTTCACAGTTCACTCTATTTAAAAAAGAAGGGGGCATATTTTGTTAGTATGTCAGCTTGATGAAATAAAAACTGAACAGAGACAATTTAGAAAACATCAACAGGACTACATAGAGGAGCTGAAAAGCTATGATTCTGTAGATCCTAGGATTTTTTTGTGAATGATAGAATGATAATCACTGTATAATTGCCAAATGCAGCCTTCTGCAGTCTTTTTATTATGTTTCTATGAATGTACATTGGTTTGATAGAGGGGAGCTAAACTGATATATATTTGATAATCGATACATGCTAGATTTCTTGAAGATTGCAAAGGCGCGACTATTTCACAAAGGTGCTATAACACTCTTAATGACCTGTAAGTCAGTTGTTGCTGTGCTTGCTTCTGTATGTACGAGTACATGCACACTGTATATGTACAGCAATACATGCTACCTTCTGTGTTTCTATCACACTTCAACGTTTAGCACTTAATGGTTTTGCTTTGTGCACATATGGAACTAATTGTGAGATCAGCGCCTACCTTTGTTCACAAGGTCTCTTTTCAAATGCCACATTACGAAGAGAGCTGGCTATGTTTTCCAAAGGTATGAAATTAGTACAAAACAGTATATGAAACGGTTTTGTATATTTTTGTAATAAAAATAAAGGGCATGTGTGATTCATTCATTATTTCTGCTTGGTGTGTTCTGATACCTATGGCCAGCACTTTCTACTCAAATTCGTAACGTAAAATTTAAATGATTTATCAAGCCTTGTAGAATTAAAGGAACAATTCACCAAAATATCATCAAATGTAGTTGATAAAATGTTTGGTGTCTGAAGTTGGCTTCTTTAGTTTGGCACTGAATATACAAAGCTAACGTAGCTAACAAGCAATAGACATGTGTGTCACCCAAAAAAATACTTGGAACAAAATCTCTTTACATTAACTGACAAGTAAAGCACATCGCCTTCTCCTGTAAAGCTCCCATTTTGGAGATAATGAATATTTTTTTTTCGGACAGCAATAATTAAATAGTTCATAATTCACACACCCTCCTCCAGAAAATGAGACATGAAATTGTATCAGTAAGCTGTACGAGTTGTTCCTCTGAGAAGGGGTCATAAACACGGTCAGGTGAAAATAAAGGCTGAAGCTTCACTCCAACAAAGACAGCATATTTATTCAAGAAGTAAGAGGTTATTGAGTCCATCTGTATGTGTGAGGTTGGTGAGATGTTTGAAGAGTTCTCCTGAGGCAACGTCAACAGACTATGGCCTCACCAGAGCGTGCGTCGGCCAATCGGAGCACTCTGCATCACATCTCACCAGAGTAGTGACAGCTGATTGGCTGAGCCTCAGTGAGGCTCCAGCTAGACCTGCAAAAAGGATGTAGAGTGCTTTACACACACACACACACACACACACAGGTTAATCTGGGTTAGTGGTGTCACTCCTCCCCAACACTAATCTCCAATATGGGACCATCGTTATCTCGTGCACATGGAGCTGTATTGATAAAGGGATTTGTTGACTTTGTCATCATCAATTCCATGCATGATAAATGCAAGGCTACTTTTGAAGGGTAAATCAATTGTGTTTTAATGCCCTCTGGTTGACCAGTTGAGAAAGATGATTAGGTGAGGTAAATGTAACTAAAGGTTGAGAAGTCTTCAAAAGCTTTGAACCAATGTATTCGATAACATACATACATAAACAAATAAATAAAGAAAACATCACTGTTCAAAAACATTTTGTTTGATTTTTTTTATTAAGAGCATCTGCCCTTCTTTTGTGTAAACATTTCATGATGAACGAACCAATAGAAATGCTCCAAAATTGCATGGAATAAAGAATAAAGTAAAAGTTTTATTTTTTGGACAGAGATGATATCATAGTCATAAGCAACTTCATAGGTTTAAGACAATTAGCCGGATGCCAGGAAAGCATAAAATAAATATATAAATAATAAAATAAAATGTCCAGAATTTTAGGTTCTACATCTATAAATGATTCTAATATATAATCAAGAATTAAGGTATACTATAGGTAAATAACTAAGGTAAATAATGTCACAAAAGAAAAAAATCACTGCATAGTTAGTTACAGTATCATTTATCATTTAATACCTTCTTGTTCAAAAACACTTGAAATATAGAAACATCAATTGTCTGATTTCTAATATTTAAATCTATACTGTATAAGTTATTATGTTATGTATAAAATAGCCTCTTAATATATTCTATTCTAGTGTCTTGCTCATACTTATTATTGTTTAATAATTGCTAAAAAAAAATAACTTGGCAAATGATTCCCAACTTTTGAACAGTGATATGTATTTTATTGTAAGATTTATAAGATTTATTGTTAGTGAAATCAAGTTCTTTGGTAAGCAATGCAAATTACACAACATTTTTGGAAACATTGTTTTTTAAATCCAGATCTTGATTTAATCACTCCAGGGTATTATATACAGAAGTAAAAAATACAAATCAAAACAAACCAGAATATCTGTTTGCTGCATATTTACAAATGACACTCTCCAAAAAACATTTTGAAATCTCAAAGTTACATGAGATTTAGTTAGCAGGAACAGTGACGTCTAGCTGTGTGATCCCTTATAAAAGTACCATTAAAAGTGCTGAATTTTTATATATAATGGACAAAAATCTTTTATAGAAAGGCAATAAATGTAATCTGATAGTAAATCAACGCTATTAGTGCAAATACCAGTCTATGTGGATGAATAGAATTAAGCAGTATAATAAGAAAACGCTAAACTCAAGCCAAACTTTAGACACAGGCTGTGACGATCACTTCTACTATAGGCTTCAACTGATTCTGATTTAACGACATGGCTAAATCAGATAAATTACGACTACAGGCCCTAATAAATCACACTAAATCTGACATTTCTTCTACACGCACTACTGCACATTTGATAAAATATGTTTATGCCTAAAGCGAAACAAAAGTATATCCAGATGGAATGTGCAAAATTTGTGCGAAATGTTCTACAAAGAAAAATAACTTTTACGAAACTGAGTTTTACCTTCTCAGACTTATGTGTGATTAAACTTTCTCTAACAATTTACCCTGCCAGCATCTGGCAACCCAATTAATCTAAGCACCATCTAGTTTGCCCTCTCTTCATCCTTCAGATTCCACATACAAGCTTTTTCTTTTAGCTTCTATCAGATATAAATACGATAACACTATAAACACAAAATTATAAGACATAGCATACAAACAATTTTGCTAGGTTAAAGCTTTCTACCTTCTCCATCCAATAAAGCAGAGTAATGATGCCATACTGATGTTAAAACAAGGCCAGGAAGAAAGCTCAGCTATGACTGAGAAGGCTTTTCATTAAAGGCATTCAAGTTTATAGTGTTTATTTTTCATAAGGACAATTAGTTAAACAATGTGCAAATAAAACTAATACAAAGTATTTACAAAACTTAAGTAAACACTTCAATGAAAAAAAAAAAATTGTATTCACCCAGAACACAAATAAGGATTCTAACTGTACACTCAATCACTGTTCAATATTAATAGCCTGTGGTCTTTTGTTCGAGGGCCCATAGAACTCCCTCTAAAAGGTATAACAGTCACAGGCTCCACACTGTAAGCAGGCTTATTACCTTTCTGTTATCTTCTCTCTGATATGCCTGAGCAGAACACTGCATTTGATATGAGTGCTGATGAACAGGTATCCGGTAATGTAGTTTTCAGACCTCCTGGGCAGGTTACCTCTGCACTGTGATTTAGGCTCTTTAGGTATGGCTAAGGCCTCTCACGTACATGTGTTTAACGGAGACTGGTGGAGACTGGCAGACACCGCAGTGGAGACACCCTAAAGGAACATGTAAATCTTGTTAATTTAAATTGCAATTCAATGACTTTTCTACTTTTATTCCTTTATGTTTTTATAGCTCATGAATTATTCTTTTTATTCTCTTAAAGGGCAGGTATCCTGCATTTTTCTTGTATTTTATTTTTTCACTTGAGATTCACTTATAATGTTTGAGTGCTTTGATGTCATAATCAACGTTTACATTTTACTTCAAACTACTTTATTTCATATAAGCAAGGAAAATTCAGTTTTCCATAATGTGCTACCTTTCTTTTTTTCCCCCAGTTTCTCTTAAGGCTATGTTTAAAAACAAAATTTCTGTCCTTGTCAAAAATAACCTAATTTGCATTCAACACATTTGATTATTCTACTAGTTAGCAAGATATGTATTTTTCATAAATCATATTTGGGCTATATAAAATGTTCATCTGAATCTTTGTATCATTTTATATTAAAAGAGGAAGAAATTAATAGCCTTGATATGTCACAACACAGAAGGCTAACAAATCAGAAACACTGGCACAAGCTGCCACTAAAATAGCAGTTAACATTAGCTAGCTAAGCTAACAGACTATCAACAAAAATGCAATATGACGCACCAAATGAAATCAGTTGGTTTAAAGGATAGGGTCTGGTATCATCACATGGTACATCAGCATTTTGATTGGCTGTTTCTTTAAACTTGTTTCACAAGGTTCACCTTAGTGCAAACCAAGTGAAATTTAGTGTAATGCAAGTTTTAAGCAACCTAAGTTTTGTGAAATTTTAGCCATGCAACCATGCAGTGCCAACCTGCACTGGATAATCTCTTGAATTTGCAATTGTCTGCAAGAAAGGTGCATAAAAAACTAATTGAACTGATAACTGATTAATTACCTGTTTTAAAAAAGGATTGCACTGTCACTGGTCTTCTCTTGAACATATGATGTGAAACGCTTCAAAAACTTAGGATACTCTCGCCTGGCCACTGCCCTCAAGACTGATGCTGGGGCCCATCCACCTGGATTCACTGGGAATTGAGTAAAATGTGTGTTTATACAGTAATACAGAACAACATTAATAATTTCACATCAAAGAACAATGTATAGTATCTACAACACTCACCATTGGCTACATATGTTATTTTACAGAGGATATTGTCTCTGCTGATTTCTTTATTGCCCTCTGGTGGGCTGACTAGCGTCTGACAGATCATGGCCACATTGATTTTTGCACGGATACATCTGCTTGTGGGCTGAAAAAAATGTGGAAAATGAATACACAGCAAAATTATTTCAGAATTCAACTGCTTGGAAAGAGTCAATGGGGTACAAATTAGAAAGACAGAAGCACCAAAAATGGTCACTTACCAGGTAACTGTCATGGTCTACAGAAAAGTTGCAGACTAGCCATGTATCTGGCTCATTCTCATTGGTGGAGAGGATTTTGCGGATGACTGACAGATAAAGGATGTCCCTTTGTGACGCTGGCCACACCCTCTACAACAGAACAGAACAAGAGCAAGACTCCCTCAGAATAACATCAGAGTAAAATGTACATATAGGCTTACATCAGTTGCACTTTCTGGTTGATTTTAACTGTACTTACCTTAAGAGTCTGGTAAATAATTACTGCCTTGTCTGATAATGTCTCTACTATATTAAAGTGCTCAACAGTTGCTGGGGAAACAACAAAAACAAAATGTAAATTAGAGTTAAACTGAGTGCCCAATAATGTTCACTGTTAGCATTTTGGCTCAGATTAAATGTGGGATACTCACTTTCCCAGTCATTACGATAGGCTGTGTCCCAAAAGTAATGACAGACCTCGTGACCTGTGACCCCCTTAACAGCATGAGTGGCTTTGAGAGGGTCCAGGACAACACCATTCTCCTCCACCTCTCTCCTGTACACCTGAAAAGCACAGACGAAGAGTTGCCCAACACTGCATGAACAGACATACTCAACAACTGAACAAACATGCATGGCAGATAAAAAGGAGAGAACCATTTTGTTACACATACATACATGTTTTAAAACTGACATCAAACTGTGAAGCGTACATATAACTATTCAAACATTTCTTTTGTCCTAGAGCTCATGGTAATTACAGTCAATTATGTAGTTTGCTATTCTCTACACTACATGGCGTGTGCAATATCAAACATTTCCCCTACTGCTCAATTCATCTCCTCAAGTGTAGTCAAGCAAACTACAATGCAGGCTAATTTGCAGTGTTTATGGAAGTTACAGTACATTAGGTAGGTTAAACTCTGTAACTAGTTAAAATGTCTAAAGAAAAAGGGCCATGAAATGTACAAAATGCACAAAAAGTGTTCCAGTAGGCTATAATGCTATATGTAAAAAGCCCAAAGCCATTTACCCAAAGAGATTTTGCAGCTGAGGCACCTCCAGCTGTGCTCTTCAGGCTATATCCCTTTTTAGAACTAACTGATAAAGTTAGCACTCAAATATTAAGAAATGCTGAGCTTTACCTTTAGGCAATAAACTATTTCTCTTCCCATTTTGACATATGTAACAGTAAACATACGCAAAATCTTGCTGGTGTAGGTTCACATGTGGGCTTTGTCTCTTTTAATGATGCACAAATATGCTACTTAAGTGCTAACAGCACCCCCTTGTGACGAATCTGAATTACTGCGGGGAAAAAATAAATTCTGAATGAATTCTGAAAGATTTATCACCAAGGACTAAGCTCAAACTTAAATCATGAATGCCTGTGCCATCTGGCACATTAAGCACAAGCACACAGATTAGTCATGGATGTTTACATTTGCACAGTTGCAGTAATGTCACAATGACATAATAACGCACACAGATCAGACATTAACGTTTGCACTTAAACAGGTCACAATAATGTCATAATGACACAATGGGGCTTATATCCCATGGTCTGTGAGATCAAATACAAATCAAACACAAGGACTCTTAATAAAGCTGCAGGCTAATTGTGATTTATTTCAAGCAGGTCAAACCTGAGCTTATCAAACATCTTCTAAAATCATAAAAATTACAGCTTCCTGTTCAAGCTTCTCTGTTAGTGTGCTGGGATTCAGTGTTAAGTTAGGAATACTCAGTGAAAATTGCTTCAAACTGATTGTATTTCTGCACTGACCCACCTTCATCTCTCCCTCCTCGGTGATAAGCTGCCAGTTAGCATCTCCACCCACGTCCTGTAAGGAATAGGTCATGTGGCTGTGCACCATCTCCTCCACCTGGCCAAAATCAAACAGGCATGCAAGTCAGTCTCCCACACCCACACTGCTCTGCACACAAAGCAGGCTTAGATTGTCACAAACAACCAGACGCAAAGACATAAATGCTGAGAGTGGAAAATGAAAAATCCTCAAAGCTTGAAGGAAGACTGCAGTATCTTTTCATGTAATATGTGTCTGCACATTTATCTGTCTAACATATATCCACTTAGCCTACACAGTATGAGCTTTGGGTATATAATAAAATATCAGCCACATTAGCAATACGCAAATACATCCTCTATAGAGCTTGAGCACTCCTTAAACAACTACGAAAAACAGTTACATGTAACTGAGTGGCTGAGGTTAAAGTAATGGTTTAAGTTTCAGTGCATATTAATAATGAGTTTTTATACCACTTCTTCAGATGAGAGCACTATTGTTTGCTGCGCTCATGTTTTCGATTCCTCAAGTCTCTCGGACTCATCAGCTTTACTCTGGCCTGCATTTTAAGAGATGTCAGAGCAACAATTCCTCTGTGTATCGCCATCAAAGCCGCATAAGAGAAAAACGTGTCCAAGGGCTCCTCTTGAGATTTCTGACTCATCATTTACAACTTTATGCTTAACTTTTTTTCCTTCATGTGAATATTCCAGAATACCAAATAAAGGAGGAAGGCTTCTGAGGAGGAGAAACAGCACTCTGTGATAACACTGAATCAATACAGGCCCCTCTCAACTATAACCTCAAGAGACGTTACTATAAAAAGGAGCGTAAAGCACTGGTTAAGAGTAATAAAACACAGTTTATCCCACGCTAGAACAGAGACAAGGCACTATACCTGAGCACTGAATCTGTGCACATCATCTGAGGCACTGACTAGGTCGAGAGAGGACAAGGAGGAAGCATGGCTATGAGGCTGAATCATAGAGAGGGCAGAGAGAGACAGAAAGAAAGACACACAGAGAGACAGAGAGAGACCGTGAGCGAGAGGAAACAAAAGTAAAGAGACAAAACCACCACTAGCCATAAACTAAAGGCAGAACTGCCACCGCAAATCTAATCAGAAATAGAAAAATATAATAGCACACCAAGAAAATTCTACAAAGATGATAGTACTGCCAGATTATGCTTAATATTTAAAGATAACAACAAAACAACAACAACAATAACAATAACAATAATAAAGATTACATTGAAACCTCTCAAAAAGAACTGTATATGTGCATGTGTGTAGGTCTGTCACAATTCTTATATAATCGCCTGATTGCAATTATTTAAGCTGACCACAATTATGCTCCAAAGATGTCAGCCATCACAATCATATACTTCTGTTAGAACAATCAGAATGTGAACTGCATTTTTTCGGTTTGGTTGAGGGAAATATATGTAAATAAAACACCATTATTAATCAGGGAACTGACAAAAACAACAAAAGGACAAATTTCTTACTGGTGCCATTTTACTTTTAGCAGGCATCAGCGAGTAATCTTCGTTTATTTGATTGTCGATAATATCACCTTTAGAGGGCGGCGGTGAGCAATGTTGTTTACATGATGTTTGTTAATAACACCTTTAGAGGGCAGGTGAGTAATTTGTTTATTTGAGCGTATTAGCCACTGCTAGAAAGCAATTTGCCCATGTTAACAATTTGTAATAGTTGCATACATATGAATAAAAAGTACAATTAAATTGTTATATTAATCACAATTACTGATATGGCAATTAGTCGTCAGCTACAGTTCATGACTCTGTTCGGCCTGCGTGTGTGTGCGTTTGTGGTCTTGGTCTTGTACCTTAGTGAGGTATCTCTGAGCACTGATGGAGCAGTAGGCATCCGGGCTGAGTGTAATTGGTCGAGGGGTCCTGCATTTCTCCGACTGAGATAAAAAGCAAAGAGAGACTCTGTTGGAAAGTGAGCAACTAAAGAACACTCCGCTGAGACAAATTAATTACTGCATTACTGAGCCTGCTACAAAATGCTAGAACACAGGCAGCAAAAAAGATGAAAGTTCTGAATATTTTCTGATCATATATTTCTCTGAGCAGTCTTTGACAAAACAAACAACTGATGGACAACATCACCATTTTCTTTTCAAGCCTATAGCAAGGAATACAGAGGCTAATCTGGATAATTTTATTGCACTGAAATTTTGAAGTGATGCCAAAATCCAATATTTTTCATGTATCTGCCATTGAATATACTTTAACATTTATAACATTAAGAAACTAAGATTGTATCCTCTTGGATTATCATTACATACAAATGTAACATTTATTTCTCATGTACTTCTCAAGTTGCAACTGCACTAAAATGCATAAAAATGCAGATATTTTAGCCATTGCTGCCTAAACATTAATTTTTAGAATAAATAAATATGAATAAATTTAATGATTTATGAATGAAATGAATAAATTTAAAATTAAGAATAAATACATCATCAAATATCAGACAAATCTAAACAGCTGCCCATTGCCAATGCTTTTAAGCAATTATTTGCTGATACTGATATGATTCCAATATGACAGTGCACCCCTAGCTAATATCCCAATATTAGCTTTACAAGACTTTAATCTTGTGTGTGTAAAAAAGGAACACTTCGTATTGCTACAGTGAAAACCAGTGAAAGAGGGCTTCTAAAAATTATACTCGAAAGCCTCTGAATTAGTATTAAACAAACTGAACGCACAAACTGACTGTTCAGTGGAGTGAAAAAACTCCATACGATCTGCCTTTATAGTGCATTCACTCCATCTCATGTTGCTGTCTTTGTGCATATGAGAAGCAGAGGGAGAAGGTAGAAGGCAAAGTAGCTCATATCCTACACATTTATTTGTGACAATCTTTTCAGAGCTGACAACAGTTCAGTGAGTTACACACATCTGAAATAAATCTAGGCAGCTTGGGGGCTGGTATTCTAATGTATATGGATATTGAAACTCATCTCAGCATTCTTTTTACTTAATTGGGTATTTAAATAAGACAAATATGGTTTGGAATTAAAAACTAAACAATTTTGTAATGCACATTTTTACTGAGTGTGCAGCACTGAACCAAAAAACAAGCAGCTGATAGTGCATCTCATACATGAAGTGTGTCCTTGTTTATATATATATATAACATTTTTTACGTGATGATCGATTCTTAAATAGAAACATGAAAGTATTGCCACTTCAGTAACAATCCGCTCTTCACATAAATGGTTGATGCTGAGCAAATCTTTTTCCAAGTCAATCTACAGTCAAACATTCTTGAAGATAATATTGTTTAGGCAGAGAATCTGGCTTCATCTACATGCCCTCAGTTTTGAAACTTCACATATTTGGTTTAAAAACAAGAAAGCCAGTCATGCTGTATAATATTAGCAGTTAAGCTGTTAAACAAAAAAAAAAATGAAAAAAAATCACGATGGCAGCTTCTAGCTAGTATCCTTACAGAAGTAATCATTTTTTTTCTCCAGTACAGTCAGAAACATTAAACAATAAAAAAAATCCAATTTGTCAATGGCTCAGTAAAGCAGCTCCTGCAGCAGGTTCAGTCAGGCACAAGTCTGTAGTTGCACTTGCTGTGCATAATTGACATAGCTCACGTTCTACAGTCTGATGTGGGTTGACCTAAGCATTCCAATGCCATGCCACAGGAGGCAATTAAGTTTTGCAGCTTTGAACAGTACGGAACACCCTATCCTACAAATGTGACAGGCCTACCTGCTCCTCAATCTTGTCCTGTTTGTCCAGAGCTGCTTCCACAGCATCGAAGAATTCATCTTCATTGATTAGACTATTGGGTCCTTCCTGAAAGTGAAACATTACGTGAACATTTCACACAGTATTTCAACTGCCATCAACTGCTTTTGTATATCCACTGCTGAACAAATATGCTGGAAATGTAAGACACTGATTACTTACTTCATAATCTGGTCCTCCATAGTGAGACTTTTTCTTCAGCTCTGTTAAAGCTGACTTGTAGGCTTCTTCTACTCTCCTTCTCCGCTCCATTTCCTTTAAAGTAAAGCAGATGCACTTCTTAGTTTTGTGACTTTAGACTCAACAAGACAAAAATAGCCTGAAATTCCTCTTTGAAAATACAGATACTGAAAGTAGAAAGTATTGAAAGTATGCTGAAAGTATGTCTTTGGTCCCAGCATACATTCAGACAGCACCTTTCTGCTTTAACAGTTCTACTTCCAGTCTCATGCTTAGAATAATGAACCACTGTAAATAAACCAGGTTAAACACCATTGTAAATGAAGAGTAGTTCTACATTCTGGTAAGGGTGGGGCCAGTATCCCAAAGACCCCAAACAGGTTCCACTGAGAATCAAAAGAATGACAGAATGAGGGGAGCAAGTTGACTATAGAGGACTACCTGAATCTCCCTCATGTTTAAGGTACAATGGACTGGTGCTCTTTCTTTTTATAGTTTCAGCGTAACTGCTTGCTTTAAAAATGGGTTAGCTGAGTAACCCGGGAGTAGCCTGACCAGCTGGAGGACTGCAACCTTCACGTTTATTTGTCTTCAGAAGAAAACAAAGAAAACAAACACTAATAACACCTTGGTTAAATGACACATGGATAAGGAGTGCCACAGGACGCCATATGACCTCACTGAACAAACAGCATCATGCCTGAATAGAAAAGGCTAGCTAAGCCTCGTGCAAATAGTTTCAATTCACTCACAGCGCACCCAAAAACGTAAATATCACTCACTGCCTATGTGGAAACAAATAATAAAAGAGCACTCAAAACCAGCCCTTCATAAAATACAGTATCACATTTTTATCTGAATATATCATGGTAGCAGATAATATTTAAGTTTTCATTGAAGTGAATGATCATGTGCTTCCTGAGCAGTGCTATTCTCTGCCAAGATGAATGTCTTACAAACCTGATGCAGCTCTGTTTTCGTCCCTTATATTATATCAATCATACACAGTATTGTTTTGTGTTAACCAGACAGAAAACCGTATCTTCAGAAAGGAAACATCCTAGTTTTACCTTTTTATGGTACATTTTTTATGCATTTCAAAATAATCTGTCAAGGCATGAATAACAAGATTAAAGTGCACAAAATATCATGAAATAACTAAAAACAAAACACAGAAACACTGTTATTTTATGGCCAGTATATATATCAGATTTCTGACAAAAATGCTGCTAAAACAGAAAAGCTCTATCGTGGTACACCAGTAATGATGACTTATCACCCAGCACTACATAAAACCTGTTGTTGGGCCCATTGCTCATCAAAATAAAGACATTACCAGCCCAAAGCAAGCAGAGCAGGTATCACCTACAGCGTAGAAGTTGCTCTGTGTACACAGAGGAATCCAGTTCTGTGCGTCTGACTGGAGAGATTCAGCCAGCCAGAGCGGCCAGGGATTCATCGTGGAGACACGGCACGGACTGGTCAACATCTTAACTCCACAGACAAGCAAGTATCCACAAAAGCTGGTGAACTACAGCCAGATGTTGGAACTTTGCAGGTTATAAGCTGCAGGTCTATTTCCTCTGATTCAGTGAACAGATACAGACACACAGGAATGGAATTCAAGTACTTCCTGAATACCTTCTTATGCTTCTGGGCTGGACTGTACAAGGCAAAACTGGTGGGGCGAGTCTAAAATGTTGCGGTTAGATGCTAAAGGAGTGTAACACCGGTCTGAGAAGAAGCACTTAAGGATAAATTAGCACCAAGAACGCAGCTCCTCCTTGTGGCTACTAGCAATTAAGGTTGGGACTGCTTTGTCTGAGTTGTGACCACAACTCTATGTGTATTGCAATGCAATGTTCTCTTATTTCTGTTAACATATGTTCATATGTATAGAGTACAGCAAATGTTCAGGACTATTTAGTGTGTCCATCCTTCCATTCTTTTCTTAAGACCTGCTGCCAGTTTTTCAAAGAAATCTGCAGGGATATTTTTCTACACCTCCAAAGTTCAGTCTCAGAAGTTGGTGGAATCTTTTAATATATTTTTTTTAATTTCCAGTTTTACAAATCTGTTTTGTGTTGTTTTTTACTTAATTTGTTTACGCAACATGAATACCTTACACCTCATCTCCTAAGAAATTTCTCCTAAAAATGAATAACTTGTATTTTATGGCTGTTTGGTTGAAAATTAAATAAATGAAGGGAGCTGTCTGACTGCAGAGCAGTATATGTTAGTATTTCAAAGAGTTTAAATATTTAGCTCATCTTAAAGAAATTTTTTCTTCCTTTAACATAACATTTTCTTAAAGGACCTTATGCGTAACTCAGTGTGTTTAAATTCACCCACCCAGGCTCTCCAAGGGGTACAGAAAGTGATAATGATCTGCTGAATGCCTCATCAGGGGTGAGAAGGCTGTCAAAGAATGTGGCTTAAGCTACACAGACCAAAAATGACACCATTTCCTGAAAAGCTAATATGAATCCACAGCTGTCTCATCTCCGTTCATTAGACTCCATTAAAATATAACAACCAGTTATGCAAGTGCTTATGTAAATGCAGCATCAGGTGCGTAGGCACCACTCAAAAGTACCTTCACTGTTTACCACTGGACTGGGACAAACCAACATTATTCACCTGACTGCAATTATCATCTAGTGATTCCACATAAAGAAAATGAAAGTGTCTTTCCAAAACCTGTCAGTCTGCAATACTGTCTCAGGATAATGAAGACCTTTCGAGTCTTGTGTACAGCAAATCTCTCTGTTTCAGGAAAAGGTGCAGAATAGTCACAAAGAACATATTTAAAGGACGTACTTTATCCAGACGCTTTTGCCAGCTCTCCTCCCGTTTGACCATGATCTCAATACAGTGGGACAGCGTGGACAAGATCCCTGCAGTAGTGGCTTTAAAAGTAATGGCTTCACCTTTGAAATCAATCCCAGTGGGTGCTCTGGGACTGGTGACTGGGAATACTAAGGGTCAGACAGAAAAAGGGAACACCATCAGCAGTATGAAATGGGAACAAAGTCCTAAAATGCACCTCTAAATTAAAAGAGGTACCAACAAGTGGGTGTAAAACAGTGTTAATTTTTCATAATAACCATTTAAACTCCAGTTAAATGGGGTTTCTTCTTTGAGTCTAGGCCAGCTATCAGACAGCTCACATAGCCCGCATGGGTCACAACGTACTGTCTGGTTTAGGGGCTAGAACTGTTCTCTTACTTTTTCAGAACATGGCAACTAGCATAGCCAGAGAACTTTTGAAAAACACAACTGTCTTTTCATTGGTAGAGTAATGTCACTACATCGCTACACAAAACTTTGAAGTGCCTTAAATATTAACAGGCTTTTGCAAATGCTCTTTCACTATACTATGCTGACAACCTGATTAGTATCCAGAGGTTCTGTCAGAGAGAAATGAAGGCAAGCTGCTTAACTGACGCCTTGATAGGCAAAGGTGGGTAATTCAGTCCCAAAAGCAGCCCTCCTCTGTTACAAAGAAAGCAAATATGCATATAATACATAACCATACTTACGCTTGTCTTTGCTACTGTTGTTATTGAGCAGGTAGTCTCCATCTGGTCGTGAGCTGGGAAAATCGTCCTCATCATCCTCAACTACTGCATGACAAATAGCACCAAAACTTAAGAGTCAACACTTACACATAATGTAGTTACTATACCACGGCTTAAATACTGGGCATAAAGAGAATTACCCATTATGCAATTTCATCAGTCTACTGAGCAATTACGTAGCAAATATATAGGCCTAGTCAGTGTAGACACATAAACATGAACAAAGCATAACTGTAAAGACCAACAGAAGAAACCTATCAAATAAAATGATCAAAAAATAAATAGAGCATGGGCCACTTCCCGAATAATCAATTGATGAATCTCAATAACTGCTTTCATTCACACCTCTGTCTACTGGTTACTTTCCAATCTGCTTTTACTTTTTATGTTGTCCTCTCTACTGGAATCTTTCTGGAAGCCCAAGTCCAATGTACGTGACCGGTTAGTCTAGGATTGCTTTATAAAACACCATAACACATTTTAAAATCTCACCTTTGTCCCTGTGGTACTCATCTCTGTAGTCTCCACTTGCACAGTTGTCAAAGTACCTCTGCAGAGTGTCCACCTGTCTGCACAGAATGTCCCGGAAAGTCTCCATCTCTGCCAGCTTCTCTCGCAGACTGTGGCCTTTCTGTGAATTCATCAGTAATAGACAATTTTCAATAAATTATAACAATATGAAATTAAGGTTGCTGCAGTGAACAGTTTGCTTTGGGTTCTTGGTCTTGTATGTGTAAGACCACTACGCTATATGCTTTATGCTGTAGACATTTTAAAGCTCAAACATCAGCTTATTGCCTCAGAGACAACATCTTGTTAATCTTCTTGTTAAGAAAGCACAAAATATTCATACTTGTTCCCCCCATAAAAATTAACATGCAGAAATCTACTGTAGCTAACCATGCTGTAAATTAAAGTAAACATTATACATTCATTGGCCACTTTATTAGGCTCACCATTCTAATTCGGGGTAGAAATCCTGTACACATTCTCACTTCTGCATCAAGTAGTCTAGCTAGAGGAAAGCGATACTGTCTTTGTGCAGAGTTCCCTTACCCTGAAGGATGATGTGGAGGTGGTTGAGAGGCCACTGGTTGCAGAGGTGAGGGACAGCATAGAGCCATGGTGTCTCAGACTGCTTTCAGAACCGTAGCCTGACTCAGCCTACAAAGACACACAATCAGGTTTTAGACGCTTCGGTGTCATTTCAATTCTCTCTCAAAATAAAAAGTCTACAGAATCATAAACTCAAGGAAGTATAGGCATACCAGTTAAAAAAACATTTAGAAGCATTTAACAGTCCACACAGTATATCTTCAGTCTTGAGAGAAAGCAAGAATTTATAAGGTAAATTTACAGGGTACGGCTCAGGAGGAGCGTACAGTTTACATGTCGTAGCTAGCAAAAAGACTAGCATCGCTCCTTAACATGTAGAAGCAAGCAGGCATTCTTTACTTGGACATCTTAGCTTCTTATGCTGACAGAAAGACATGGTTCCCAGTGAAAAGACCCAAATTAGATCTAAATTATGGTCATTAAGTTACAAATTGTGCCTTGTTGTACTTATCATGCATGTTCCTGCAACAGCCACAGAACCCATGAGGCTGTCGAGAAGGACACAGACATGAACACACTGCAATTTAGAAGAGATCTGGGAGCATGCTTGAGACATTTAAGAGATAAATTATGTCTCATGGATAATACAGCATCATCCATGATGGCCCAATCTTTACCTAAAGGCATATAACAGAACAAAACCTGAAAAAACTGAAGCCTCATATCATATTTCACTGCCCACTACTCAGAATATATATGTCTAGCTACAGATTCCATGAAACTCTTGAGCCATTAACAATGCAAAAACTGTTGCCAACACCTGAATTTTTACATGTAACCAGCTGGATATGACTGCATTTTTAAGTGAATCATCATTATAAACTGTATCATAAACAACACAGATGCAACCAACAACTCTGTTGAAGACACTAAACCAGAGATTCCTCTGTGCCGTCCCTCACTGTTATATAACCACTAACATGGAGGCTTTTGAAGGATTTCATTATCTAAAGTAGTTTAACTAATGGCCAATGAGGGATTAGAGAGGACACTGACATGGCTGTGGAAATAAAGCACTGGAAACAAAGTGCTGTTACAGAATCTGAGCAAACAGCAGACTTATTAGCTAACTGAAACATTTTGCTTTTTCTTTCTCAGGTAATATTACCTAATTTTACAGAGATCTTTATTAAATACACACAAATACTCCAACTGTAGAAATGGAATAAATGTATTTTATACTAGTTTCAGTACAGTATACAGTACTGATGCCTCCCTTCATTAATTTAATGTCCAGTCAAAACATCCATTAGATGTGTTATTCATTTTTAGCAGACATTTTTGAGGAAATTAGATACAAGCTAAACCACCTGCATAAGGAAGGGGGAAGTCAAAGGACAATAAGTGGAAAAAAAAAGTTTCCAAAAGTGAAGTTTAAAAAATGATTAAAAGATACAGAGAAAATGGGGCTCTGAGCAAGGCGTGGTAAACCACCAAAATCTCAACCTCAAATAAACAGTATTTAAAGCTGTCATCTTTGAAAGAGAGAAGAGAATCAAGCTCCACTCTTGCTTTAAACCTGAAAGATATCTACATTTCTGTCCTTCCTACCACTGTGAGAAGACAAACTTAACAGAAGAAATTTGCAAATAAAACACAGAAGCAACATTACTGAATATGTTTGGGTTTACTACATCATGAAAAGAAGAAAACACAACCTTCAAAACAAAAACTTCTAAAATTGAACTTTTGAGGTGTAGAAATATATCCCCACAGATTTCTTTAAAAAACTGAGCAATTTTCCCAAAAAAGAATAGATGCTGTAATAAAGGCAAAGGGTAAACACACTAAACACTGAAAAATCTGATATCTAGTTGTTGAGACTTCATTGTAAAGTTTTTCTGTTAAACACATGTTTTCGGCTTGTTCTTCATGGCCATTTTGACTGGAAATTAAATGTAGGGTGATCTCTGACTTTCACACAGTACTGTAAGCATGCAACATACTGCATAAAATCAATTTGTTGGTATGCATGAAATCTAGTATTTATAGAAAAGATATAGGACGAGACTGATAAAATTGCAAACAGATATAGACGATACTGCTGAAAAAACACAGTGACATCCAAACAAGTGCCATCCTAAAAAACTGCACGACCAAACGTGAATTAAACAACCCCAAAACAGATGCATCACCAACAGTGGAGAATGACAAGCAGTGTGACAAACATGCTGACCTGACCACCGGAAAACAAAAACGGATGTTAGCTCCCAAGTCTGCAGCAGTTGCCACTGATGGAAAGCAGATACAAGACGAAAGAGTAAATGCTCTTTTGTGAAAATGACCCCACACACTGCTATCAGGTTTGAAGATTTATTACAGAGCCTTTATAATACTGCCATCAGAGTATTCTGCATATAGTGCTGAGTTCCTGCATTTGACATGTTTCTGCTTTTCTTCAAATAGTGATATCAATTTTCTATCCCTGGCTAGATGATACGGACGCAAGATGACAACAGAATCATACTTTTACCATATTTCACATTGCTAGACCGAACCTTAGATTTGACAGGTGATAAAATGATATAAAATGATTGCGCTTATTGTACTGTAGAAGAGCAGAACGTTTAGGCAACAGTGGGCTACCATGTTAAAATGCCTGCATTTTGTTTAACGACATTTGTAACCCTACAGAAATAAAAGTTGAATTTATCTGTAACGAAAGTGTCACCTCAGGTGTGTCAATGTAGCCTCAATGCAGCATCAACAGATACGTACACGAAAAACAACAGATTCTCAGTATCATCCCATAATTCATATATTGGTGCATCTCCAATTGCTAACTCTTTAAAGTACGCTGAGCAGTTCCAGCACGGTATACTAACAGCTAAACTGCACTCTCCTGTCATGTTGAAGAGATGGTGATGGATGAAAAGTAAATGAATGAAAGCAGCATGCACGCTAACATGCTATCAGGTGAAAGCCCACCATTCGTCCATTCCAGCAGCCAAAGCAGAAGAGAGAGCTGCTACAATCGTGGCCGGCTGACCGAAGCATGGCCTCTCAGCGCACTCCCCAGACAGCCCCAGCGTTTCTGCAGACTCTTCACTGGCACGTGGTGGAGAAGAGGGAGAGGGAGATGGCAAATGATGCTTCTTTCTCCTTTGAGAGTTACAAAAGCAGCAGAAAATGCAATGACTAAAGAGAAAAAATAAAAAGTGTTGGATCCTGTTAAAGTGTGGCTTCATGTGGCATGATATGAGCAGAGAGCTTTATGGGTGGGTCTATAAAGCACGATGAGGGAGTGGGATGGGAGAGAGAGAGAGGGAGAGAGAGACAGACAGAGACAGAGACTGAGGGACAGAAAGGAAAGAAGGAAATGTGAAAGGGAAATGAAGAGAGAGTAATAGATAGGTACAGAAAGAAAGAGAGAGTGATGCTTTAATGATAGACACACTCAGAGAGTATAAAGAGAGAGAACAAGAGAGTGAGAGGGAGAGAGAGATAAGAATGTGAGAAACAAAGATGAGAGATATAGAAATAAGGAGGGAGAACAGGAAAAGGGGAGAGAGAATGAAAAGAGAAACAAAAAAAGGAGAAAGTAGAGAGACGTACAGATAAAGAAGGGAGAGAGAGAGAACAGATAAAGGAGAGAGAGAGAGAGTGATAGAGAGACATAGATAAAGAAAGGAGAGAGGGAGATGCTTTAACGATAGACACACATATTCACTCTACCTCAGTACCCACACACAGCTGCATATTACAGCATCCAGGAACCTCTTGCTCAAATCGATCAGCAGCGTCCATCCCTGCAGCAGCCAAGTGGAGACGAAGAGGAGTGTGAGCACAGAGAGCGAGAGAGAGAGAGAGCAAGAGTGCACCCGGCAAGCAAATCTCCTCAGTGCTTGGCAGGGTCTGCATGCTCCTTTCTTTCTTACTGTTACCTTTAAGTGAGCAGATGCATGGACCACACCAATAAATCTGCTACGGACCACACCAAAAATCTGAATCTGGGAGGGGGGCTACCACTGCGCGCATCCAAAGCAGGACCACTCCTTTTTCTTCCTGACCACGAGTTCACTTGCTTGAAGCGAAGCGCTGCCTGTACCTCTTCAGCCGCGACACGTTCATACATTATTCATGCGAAATGCTAAGCGCTAGCAGAAAAAAAGCCCATCCCCTTCTGCTCGAATCGCCCACACACATTTCAGCACTGCGATTCAAGCCTACCGGCAAACAATACCGACCTGCAGGGCAGCATCCACTCTACTGTGAACTTTTGTTTGGAAAAGCTCTGCTTTACATAATGTTTTTACTTTTAAAAGCCATTTGCTGCAGAGTCAAGTGGATGCTTGAACGACAAGAGGCAGGAAGCAAGAGCGATCGGGCGCATAGACGAAAAGACAGAGAGGGAAACAGAAGGTTGAAGAAAAAGGGCATAATCGCAATCATCTGAGAAATGTTGAGTATAACAAATGCAATATGTTACATATTCTGGTAAGCAGCACAAAATGATGTAATATTTTATATGTTATGATGGCATCCCAATTGAGTTTTTCATTTTTCATTACAGCAAAATAAGGCAGACCTGATAATGTGGCTTTAGTTAATTTGTTAGTTTATATTTTCAATTTATTTATTTATTGACCCATTTCCTATTTTTTTTTCCTATACAAAGGTATAGTATTTGAGACGTTAGAAAGGCACAGTGGAGTTTTGCCTGATCATCACAGAGACAGTAACTAACGGCTTTTAACGAGTTAACAAACTAGTCACGAGCTAACACACTAGCCAACAAACAATAATACAGTTAGATACATTACACTGTATTGTTACTAGGGCTGTCAAAGTTAATGCATTACCACAATATTTTTTAACGGCAATAATTTCTTCTTTAATGCATTTTCCTAGTTTGAGCCTTCAAGACTTCCATAGTAGTCCAGGCTGAAACCCAGCTGTGTGCACTCTGTATGCTGCTATGATAGAATCCATAACTGTAGCCCACTTCTACAAACTCGGCTTTTAAATGGCTTTTAAAGTGATGCATTTGGCCTTCAGCAGACTACATTAAACAGCGCTTGTAAGAGAACTATGGATAAATCAACAAGCAGCAACTAACAAAAGCAATAGGAAAGTGGAAAACTCAATAGATTCTACTGCAGCAAGAATCCATGAGCTGTATGAATGAGAGTGAGCGGCTTCAAACAATATATAAGATATCCAAACTCTATCAAACAATAGTTGGAACACTGTTGCTCTCACTGGACATCTGTAATGAAAATTGGAAATCATGCAATTTTCACCTTAAGTTTCATGTAAACTTTGCATTCTGCAAATAAAAAAACGTTACTGAATTACTGATTATAATAAAATATTTTGATTATAAAAAAAACATTGATGAAGCTTATTTTGTCCTATTTTATAGCTTTCTTTGGGCTCCAATTTGAGCAAATAAGACAAATGTGATTAACTGCAATTAACCACTCAAAAAATTGTGATTAATTATGATTATTTAGTTTAATCATTTGAATGCCCTGTTACACACTTAAGAATTACCATATTATTTCAGTAGCCTGTTATTAAATCATCCACCACAGCATATCTGTGGTCCATTCTTAAACCATCATCTCTTTTGTAGCACTTACAAAGACGTACCACTCTGAGCCGATAAAGGGCTTAACAACATCTACCAGGAGAAGCTCAACACCAGAGTGGGAAACAATCAATAGCAGCTTGATGAGCAGTCAAAAGTAAACCAGCAAGCCTCAGACCGGATGACTGGGACACATATCAGGAACAGACTACATGAAAAAAAGGCACAGATGTTTGGTTATTTTTATTATTCTTTTATTCATCACTCATATATTTTAATGATCATTTAATGATCGGCTGAGAATCTTGCGCAATAAAACAACTAGGCTTGTCACAATCACTAGATTGAGGAAAAGAAAAGAGGAAAAGGAAAAAAAAAAAATTTTCCTTGACGATAAAACATATTTTAAATTCTCCTACTGGCCTTACAAGGGTTCACCGTTTATCTTCATCAGAAAAATATTTTGGAATTTGAAAGGTTCTGCATGGTCTGCCTTCAAGTCTATTTTCTTTGCTTGGCCTTTTAAAAACTATACTAATTATTAACATAACTGGTGGACTACTCTATTAGTAATATAATCAGTAGCCCTAAAGCAACCGTTCTTGCTTGATCAGCACTTTTACAATCACACAGTCACTTGCCACCAGCTGATGGCGCTGCTCAAACATTTTACAACTGTGCTGTGTTTCCTAGGAACAACAGCTCTGCTATTAAATTATTCTGTCTCACCTTACACACTTACACACTTACACACACACACACACACGCACACACACACACACAAAATAATGAGTAGAGTAAAAGCATGTTGGCTCACAGCCAGAATGATTTCTGCTCATGGAAATTGACTTTATATCCTCATAACTCATAATAAGATTTGGCAATATTATAATATTACAAAAACATATTCTTAAGGATATTACAGAACAGCGCATGCTAGATTTTGTACTACCAAATCACCTGAAGAATATTTTTTAGTAGGAGTGCTACTGTTTTCTTGATTTAACAATAAAAAATGAGACTTTAATAATCACTTCTGTAAAATCCTTTCTCTGTAGTGTGTCTTCATGTCATAACACATCGTTCAATGACTAGATATTACACTGAAGTAGAACTATATTTCATTCAAACTGTGATACTATTTATCCGAGACACTTCCCCTTTCTATGCCAGAAGAGCAGTGGAGATTACAATACTTACAGACAGCGTGTGTTTTTTATTAGCAAAACTAACACATAAATCCAAATCTACCACTATCCCAAACAAACTCATGAGCACTCACCCACCCAAGAGCACACAAACATGCCCACAGCTACGTAAAAGTTGGATCTGAACATGTGAGCAGCTGTGTGTTGAAACCACAGCCTCACACGCCTTTCCCAGAGATTAGCCCTGTTCCCAGAGTGAGCAGGATAACAACGGCTACATTTCTAGAGACACTCCCTCACTATGCTTGTCTCTAGACTGTATGCAGCTAAAGATTAAGTCGGCTAGAGGAGCCTTATGGGGAAAAACGAGTTTAACAATGCAAGATCAGACACCTTACATTTTTAATGTAAACTGAAACCAACAAACCACCCTTCCTGTACAGCAACATAATGCTTACTTGCATAACTGTACAAACGTTCAGGTTTACAAATGTTCATCTCCTCCTGTAATATAATATATATAACTAGTTATTATATGTCTCTTCAGACCTGATATGTATAAATATTCACATATGTACAGATATTCACACATCTCTTCAGCTCCTTTCAAATTGGCTCTTTATTATTCTTTCTTATTCCTTATTCTACTTTTATTTGTTCCTTAGTTAAAGATTTGTTAAGAGTCTGTGTACTTGTCTGGTCTGTTTAGTATGCTAATGTCATATATGTGTGCACTAGGGGTTGCACAGACTAGTTGACGAGACTTTAAGCCTGATGTCGACTAGTCACTGAGCACGTGATTATGACACTATCAACATGGACGCCTCACAGAAGACAGCAGGTGAGGAGCCTGGTGATTTCGCGGTCCGTATCTCCAGTTCCCTGAAGGCTAGCAATGCAATCCAGGGCTCATTGGAAAGGGCACATCACACTCTACTGACGTGTGGCCTTGCCAATCTACAGTGGTTCAAAGATCGTATATTAAACATTGATATCTCAGGTTTCCCGAAGACTACATAATGCCCCATAATCCTGTAAAGTCGGTTACTCTCACTATCACTGAGTTACAGGAAATTTCTCGCATCTCGGCAAGGCCACCTACTGGTCAGATACAAATTTTGCGAGATTCCAGGGTCCATATCTCTCCCTAAAGGCTAGAAATGTAATCAAGGAGGGGACACATCAGGAGTTTAGCTTTGTCACGGATATTAAAAGTGGGAATTTTTTTAAGCCACGTTGCAAAACATTGCATTCTCCTGTGGTTTTATTCATGACGTCATCAGCGATTAGTTGACGTTAACTCCACTTTCATCACATAATTGTCGACTTCAAAAAAGTCCCAACCACTAGTGCGCACTCACCAAAAAACTCCTTGTATGTGTAACATACTTGGAAAAATCAACTGATTCTAATTCTTACCTGGGCCTTATAATTAGCCAAAGCTAGCTAACCCCTTCTAATGAAATTCACAAATCAGCACAATGCAGGGTAAGATCTGTAATGATAATGTAAATTTAGAGAAACTATTATCGTGATTTTTGCGATATTGTAACATTTGTATACATTGTCTACTGCACAGTGTCCACATTTCAAATTTTGGCCACTAAAAAAGCCGAGCCAAGGCACTTGCCAGGGAGATTTTTCTGTGTTCTTTTTTTTCCTTTTAATAAATCGGTTTAGTTGGAAATTTTGTCACAATTTGTTAACTGTAACTACTGTGACAGCTACTGTGATGGTGTGGTGATGGTGGTGGTCCCCCTGCTGAGCTGGTCCAGCTGGCTAATATAGCTACATGAAATAAGGTCTGAAATAAAATAAGGTGTTAAATAAGCTTCCATTACACAGAGAGTATCTCTGCAATAGCTAAACAGTACCTGATGAAATAACCTAGATCAGATGATGTCAGGATGGATCAGCTTGGCAGGGGGACCACTAAGGTCAGCACAACTGCAATTTTCCAAAGTAATACCTGACTAGTTTTTGCTGCTGAATAATGCTTGTTAATTGGAAACACAATGCATATATGATAAACATGTTTCTATTATTTTGGTCATTCTTAATTCATTGGCTTGGTGGCCCTTGTGGCCAGTGCAAATGTTTATATCTGTCTACCAGAGGAAATAAATGATATGATTCAAATTACTGACCTCCCAGCTTGCTTTTTCCTTAATGGTAATATAATTCCTAAAAAAATACCCTCTGGGCTGACTTACAATATTATTTAATAATTTATAACAACAACTGTATTCGGCACAGATGGCAAACAATACTGTTAACGACCAGTGGTTCAATGTATTCACTTGTTTGGAAACAAAAACATTGCCAAACTTGCTCACTGACACTCTTCATCTGAACAAGCTTGCCAATTTTACTCACTTCAAGAGAGGAGAACTCATATACTGGAGTTTTAGTTTCATTTCAACAATCCCAGCATTCTTTGCTGGACTGAAAATCCTTATTATAATCTTTTTAAGTGCCACTGAAAGTACATATGTGCTGGATCTGAATGATTGTGCAAAAAGAGTGGTTAAAGCAATAATAAAAACATCTGGCAAGTGAAAATGAATGAAAAAAAAAATTATAGCATTATATCGGCACTTCTTTAAACGCTTGCAATATTTAATAATGTGAATTACTGGCCAAAGGCTAATGCAGGGTCTTTGAATGGGAAAATTCCAATACATCCACTTCCAGTTTCAACACTCATTTGCCCTCAAGTATGTAGAATCAGGTTCTTCCACCTTAACATGTCTACAATTATCTCTCAGAGGAAAGCAGATATGAAGACAGACAAACCAGAACTTCACAGCACACACTGGCATTAGTCTTTTACCTTGTGAAGCTCGATGGTATCAATCCACTGCTGCCGGTGGTCAGGATCTTCAGCCCTTAGATACCAGACACTGTCATTTACACTGACATCGAAGCGGCATTCGTCAAACTCATGAGGCTGTGGACAATGATGGAAAACAACTGATTAGACTGTGTATACATGAATTAATGTACTTAAGCCTTAACATCAATGTAACAGTCCAAGAGATGAATCCTAAAAGACAGTCTTTTATGGTAGATGATGTTAGAGCTCACTCATCTAGGCTCACCCTGTAAGTTCAGATTACATCTGCTAAACCCAAGTTTCACAACTGCTGTCCCACCAGGATGGTATCTCACAAGATGTTTTCTCAGTTAACCAGACAACTTACGCCACTCAAGCCTGTCTAATAGGAGAGGAGTTGTCGACAGTCCAGTGGATATGCACTCTCAGAAAAGGCTCAGAAAATAGTTCAAATGCTGTCACTGTGCGGGTACCATCAAGGGTCCACTTTTAGTACTTTTAGTTAGGGAACATAATTTTATCATATTCTGTTGTCTTGACTCCAGGTTTTTTATTTATCTCAGGATATTGAATGTGGAGTACCTTAAAAACTTTTAAGGTATACAAGTGAACCTTAGAGGTGCAGTGTGTAAGATTTAGTGGCATCTAGCGGTGAGGCTGCAGATTACAACCAAGTGAATACCCCTCCCTCACCCTTCCCTTTCCAAGCATGTAGTAGGACCTGCGGTGGCCCTCAGGTAGATTGGTATGCTTAATTACCTGTACAGCAGAAAATCAATTTCTTTGTTACTATGAAAACATTTGTCCCTCATCAGTAATTTCCATCTTGGAAGGGCCACACCAACGTTTATCCTTGTATCCTTGCCATCACCTGCTCCGATTTTGTTTTGCTTCTTCATGGTTTTGCTTCTTTGAAGACAAGGATTCACCCTTCCTTGCTTTTTCTCGTGCTATATGGTAAGAATGATCCTCTTCAATATGCAATATTCAATATGATTTCAATATGCTAACATGCTGTCAGCTGGTAGGTTTACTTGAGTACCTCCTTTATTGACATTCATTCAGGATAGGGCTGTTATGAATACTTTATTAAGCTTGTTTATTTAAAGGGCCCATATCATGGAGACATGGATTTTCTCAGTTTTGTGTAGAAAACAAATCTTGGTGTATTCAGATTATAGTTTAATCACATCACTGCATAATGACACTAATAGCTGACATTTTGCACTTTAACCGTCTAGTCTTTGCCACATTTCAAGTCCAATGTGCCAGAGTACAGAGCCAAAACAGCAAAACTGTGTCACTGTAGTGTTGTTTACAAATTGCCCTCTATAAAATCTTATCTTGCTCATAACACTAAAAGCCTTGACCAAATTCTTCTGCACAGATTGTCCTTGACTTCTGATAGACGCTATTCAAAGTCTTTTTCTTTCTACGCAGATCTGAGCTGCAGGGGAATGACCTCACAGTCTCAATAAAACTTCACATTTCAGCTCACTCAGCTTTTTTCCTGCAGTGCCTGCATGCTGTGCTGTTCTTTCTGTTCTGGTCTGCTACCCTGATGAAGATAATTCTGAGACAGAACAATGCTGCCACAGTGGATACTTTTACTGTGGGCCTTTTCAGTCGAGACAATCGTCCTTTTGTTAGAAAATTACCTTGCTGAAGTTAGAGCTACTAAAGTACATGCATACTATGGAGCGCAAGCATGTGTTACAATTTAATTCTATCTGAATATCGCTTAAAATATGACCTAAGCCATCACTTATCAATTACATACGTCACTGAGAAATGTACCAGTTACTTAGATGATTAACTGAACTTGAAAAAAAAAGGTAAAACAATAAATTCTTAATTGAACAAATGCCAAATGCATAGCTTTTCAAAAATATTTAAGTATAGATAGAAGTTAAAGAGGCCTTTAAAAAGTCTTAAGAGACTTCAAACAAATAATAATTTTCTGTAGCAAAGATGCCTATAAACGGGTGTGTTTTACTTTAAGACAGACTAAAATGAACATTTGAAAGATGCATTATAATTGTGCTAACTAATCACTGCCAATTAATTGAGAACATAAATAAAAAAATAATAATGAGCCCATATCCAAAATTTTATAATGCACTGTATTATTACCCTGACATACACTTACAACACTGATGTCGCTTAATGCGCCAAAAAACAAAATTATTTTTACAAGACCTATTGCTTAGAACTTATTACGTTGTATTTGTTACTGTGCCTTTTTGACTAATATATGCAAAAGAGCTATGTTCTGATTGGCTTCCCTGTGTTGTGTCACATTTAAAAAGCAATTCAGACAAAAGAAAAAAAAAATCAAGTTCAATGTGAATGGGCAGGGTAAACTGCTGTGAGCTAAATAGTGGGATATATGAAAATGTGTTGGTTTTTGTGACATCACAAAAACAATAAATTCAAAATAGGTCAATTTTGTAGCTTAGTTTCCATATATGGACTGAATGGAGTGGGAAATGAATAATACATTTAAAAAGTTTACATACTATATGATTCATACTCTTTTATTTAAAAAAAAAGTTCTCTATGTTATTGGCCCTTTAAATAAACAAGCTTAAAAAGTAATCATAACAGCCCTAATCTGAATGAATGTCAATAAAGGAGGTACTCAAGTAAATCTACCAGCTGACAGCTTTAAATGTGCTACACTGATGACCATCAAAACCAAATACAACACAACAGTTAGAGATCTATTATAAATAATGTAGGTTAACTGCTCTGTGCTAACGTAAGTAAGGCAGGTGGAAAAAGTGTGACCTCTCTATTGGAGCAGCCATGGCAAATTCTGTTCCACGTCTATTCTATTCTATCTGACTATTTCCGCATACTTCAGGCAACATGACAAAAGAGCAGTGTATCGACTCAACCTTTTTGAGGATTTACCTAGAGGCTGCAAGCTGTGCTTGTTCAAACAAGACTGTGGAGTACACTCCCTCCATCCATGCCAGCTCTCTTCTCCCTATCTGTCTCTCGTTCGTACAGTTCAAATAAGCTGAATGTAACACGTCAGACAAGTATGGCAAGTACAGCTGCTGACTGTGGATGTTAGCGTTAGTGTGCTAACACAACAAAACACACCAAGTTATTATCGTAAAAGGTTTTGCTGTACAGCATTCAAGGGGTTTAATTCTATTCAACTAATTATTTAGGCCAACTGTATACAAAGAACATGAGGAAAAGCCGACAAACCAGGGTTCAAATAGTAGATAAAAGGTCCAATCAGGGAACTATGAAGAATTTGAGATCTAGCTCCTCTACTGTGCTTAACCCTAAGTATAAACCAATTGTTCATTCATAAACAAAGCATGGATTAGTGGCAGTTCTCATAGATACTGACACTTAAATGATCATAATATTACACATATTGTCAATGATGTCAATGCCACAATTCAAACACCTTGTTCTGTGGCTTTTGTATTGGATATTTCCTGTATTCATGAATAAGAATACAATGCACTAAAGGTTTAAGTGTTGTTCAACGCTCTGAAGTGAACTGGGTGATATAAGCAGGTATACTCGCATTGGTAAAACAACAATATTGATTTTATGCTTTAGCAGTATTGATAGGCAGCAAAATCTTTTTTTTAACAGCAACATCTCATCTGCTGGATGCTTCGGACCTTTAAAAGAACAGTTCAAAATATATAAAACTAAACAAATATTATGTTTTCTTTCTGTGGGGTCCTGTCTGGATAATGTAAGGTTCCCCTTGGTGTCCATTTAAAGGAAACTTTCATATATTTTTCAGGAGAGTAAAATCGTTAACATGTAAACAAAGTCATCCAGAGCAGTTTGATGTGAGATGCACTGTTCTACATAACTTTTTTTTAAGTGATAGTGATAGGAACCAGACATCTGAAGAGTTTAATCCTTCTGAAAGCTACCTCACAGAAAGTTATTACATATATGCTACCTGATGACTGATACATCGGTTTACAGCAGTTTTGAGAAGAGGTTTGGTCTAAAAAAATTCAGGGAGTGAGGCAAAATAGCCCCTAAAGATTTTTTAGATTTACCACTGTTTTACCATTATCAATATGACACATAAATAATCAGGAAAGCAACCTTAAATAGAATCTGATATCATGACACATCTGGGAAATACTGCAATACTAAGTTTATTTAATACCACCCAGCGCTGAAGTCAATGTCTCAACATGCCTGTCTCTGCTATGAATTTTTTTCATATTACAAAATTCCACATCCCATTTTTGGGCGTCTTCTGGATCTGAAATGAGTGCGAGCCTTGATCAGCATGTTAGGTTGGTGAGGCAGCCTTACTGTGATGACTGCCTTGCTGAGACAGAGAGAGCCCCTGCAGCCATACTCCCTCTCGTCTTCTGACTTATAGTAGCTCAAGGTGTTGTTCTTCAGCACTACCCAGCGGTCCTGCCACCCGTGGATGTAGTTGGTCCACTGCGAGTAAAGCACGAAACAGACGGTATTTAACATCGCATTGGGAGACTTTTAGGATGCACCTTAATGTTTATGACTAAAATTACAATGTGATACGAGCACTTTTTAAATAAGAGAATATCTCATACATTCTATACATAACTATGGATCATAAGATAAGCAGGTGTTTTCATCACTGCATCGCCAGTCTCAGGCCTTGAGCCTGCTCTGTCTTTATGTGGGTAAAAAGTCACAGTGATCAGTCTGAGGATCTTGTGAGCACATTAGAAATTACTTAAAGGATCACTAAATGAAGGCCTACCTGATCTCTCAATTTAAAATACAGGAACGAAGCTGAAGTCAGCTTCTTGATCGCATTTTCCCGTTCCACCTTAAATGGTGCCGCAGTTACATTCTGGCGCCTTCTGAGCGACTTTAACTGCTATACCATTTAAGGTGGAACGGGAAAATTTGAACAAGAGGCTGGCGAATCGGAAAAGCAACTTCAGCCTCGTAATGTAGTAAAAATATAAAGGTTAAATTAGGCTATTTTAAGGCATCGTTAGCTCTGCGAGGAGGCTAGTACGTAACGTACCAGCAGTCAGTTGGAATCATTTACCTTACTGAGGGTCCCACCGAGGTCATCCGTTTGCTCTGATTCAGGATCCACATCTTCATCAGAACTTGAAGGAGACGAACTCTGATCCGACATTAGTCAAACCGAGACTTCAGGCTAATTTAAAAGCTTTCCTTTCTCCTTTTCGGACTGATGGATCTTTTCGTAGAACCACAGCTTAGCTGTAGGGAACTTTGAAAATAATATCTAGCCAAGCACGCAGTCCTGATCCCCGCTCTGTTCTACTGTCTCCGTCTGGCGTTGAGAGCAAGTTGACGTAAGCTAATGCTAATTTAACGACACGACAAATAACACAGCAAACCTTCTGAATTACTCAGCTAATGTTAGCTCGATGATATTTCAACCGAACTGAAGACAGCACATCCACTCCAAAGCCTGACTTCGAAGTGTTTCCCTCTCAGAGTCCTGCTGGGTCGCTCGCCAAGCCTGAATGGCAACAACGCCACAGCGAGCAGAACGTCGACAGCTCCAACTGAAGAGCTTTTAGAAACATATTACAGATGAAGATTTGAATGCTCTGTATTTCCATCCGACTCCGTGTGCTTCTTGTAGTCCGTCCGACTTTTAAAATCCGACTTGGTGCGTTGATGTTTATCCTACCTCACGAGGAAAAAGTTTTGATTTGATTGTCGCCCCCATTCGGCTGTGCAGGGTATTGCGCCAAAACATGAACGTTCCTGCTTAACGCAGATAAGCACGTAACATACAGAAACTGGTTAGGCATGAGTGTGGAAAGTCTTGAGAGTCAATAAAGAAGTTAAAGAAATGTCATATGAACTTCTATAAAATCTACCTAGCTGAAATTACTTTATAAAATGCAAACATAACACTGGAACGACTTGTTCATTCTGTAGTAACTATCCAGAGACAAAAAAAAAGAAAAACTCAGTCTTTTTATATTCATAAGTGTAAACTCTCAGGCAAAAGGCAAATTTTGTTGCCTTTGAAAAGGAGCTGGAACATTATATAGAATTAGTACAGCCCTCTTTAAAACAAAAAAGTATTAAAACTCTTAAAGCAAGTATGTGCTTCAAAATTTTTTGTGTAGTTATGTATATCCCCCTAGCAAATGTATTCATGTATTGTATACTGTTATATGTATATTTTTTACATACATATGATGTTGTGTACTATGTTTTGCTCCAATAACAACAACAATAATAATAATAATAATAATTATTATTAGTAGTAGTATTATTATAATGAGTGTGGAAAGTCTTTTAAGGTGGAATTCCACTGATTTTTCTAATTTTCTGCATAACTAAATAGTTACAGTGTCAACAAAGTCATTCAGAGTGGTTTGGTGTGAAATGCTTTGTTCTAGAGAAATGTTCAGAGTCATAATTGTTTACAGCAGTGGTGATAGGAACCAGGCGTCTGAGGAGTTTAACACCTTTAAAAGCTCTCTTACAGAAAGTTATTACATTAAATGGTTATGAATACTCAGCTTGATGTCTAAGACATTGGTTTTAAAGTAGTTTTGTGATAGAATATTGGCCTAAAACGTATTTTAATCCATTTATTTTGATCCATCCATGGTGGACAGATACATAAAGGGTCTAGTCGCACATAGGTTTGCTGGTGGTTTTGGACAGTAAATTAAACAGCTATATTTGTGCTGTAGACATAAAGACCCCTATAAAGAAATCCGACACAGCAAGTTTCTCAACAGTCAGAACTGTTCACAGCAGTGGTGATGGGAACCAGACAACCCTAGATTTTAATGTCTTTAAAAGCTTCCTTACAGAAAGCTTTTTTAGAATATGGCTACAAACACATTGGACAAGATGTCGCTCTGGATAAGAGTGTCTGCTAAATGCCATAAATGTAAAAATGTACATATTGTCTAATGCCTTGGTCTGTTTCAGAATGGTTTTGAAATAAGGTTTTTTTCCTTGTAATTCATTTTTACAAAAACATTCTTGGTGGAGAGGATTTACCTTTTTTCGAATTTACTTCTATTTTACCATTATCAAGATGAAATTCAGAAGATACATATAGGTTCACTAGTCATTCCTATCACCGGCAATATACAGAAATCAGAGTCTGTAATTTCTTTTCTGTGAACAGTAAGGTTTCTCTACAAAACAATTTCACATGAAACCACTCTGATTAAAAAAAATCATGTCTCTAGATAACATTTGACAAATGAAATTGGACAAATTTTGATCTTTTATTGATTTTTAATAATAAAAATCTAATTGTTATATCTTAAATGTTCTTAAATGTAAAAGTAAGTTTTTAGTTCTTACGTGTAAGAACTGAATTTGAAAAGGTAACATTTCTGTTTTCACTGGTAAGAAAGTATTTCTAATGTGTGACCTTAAATTTAAACAATACAAATAAAAAAATTAACATATAAAAACAATTACCACATGTTAAAATTTAATTATACTAGTGTTAATGTTCTTACTGGTGATTACTAAATTTCTTACATGCTAAAATATTGCTCCTCTAACTGATACATTTTTTACATATTAATTTTTTATTTCTAGTATTAATGACATTTTACTTGTTCATATTTAAATTATGTGAACACTGTGTAAAAGCTGTGGTCTTTCATCAGTGAGCCATAATAAACACAACAAATACTTAATCACAGCATCTGCACTGATTTCAAGAAAATCATTTAATTCACAATAATCTTATAACAGTACAAAATATTTTTTGGCATGCACTCCCCTTTATTTAGACTGCACTTACACCCAAGCATTTGCAATCAATTAAAACCTGTTTTCAAAGTCACAATTCTATATTTAAACCTGCAGTCACAGACAGTGCAAGACAGAAAAATCATTCGCATTTCTTGCAGCAAGCTTTCACTCTTGTTCTTCTTTTGTTTAGTTGGTCCCAGTGGTATTAGGTCATTCTGAGGCCTGTAAGCCAATCCTCAATAGCTTTCTCATTATACTGTGGATTCTTCTGCCAGTCGATATGCCAGCGCAAGTTGGCGATGACCTGCGTGTAATTGTTTCCAAGGCTCTGCTTCCATGCCAGAAACTGCTGCTTGTTGTAGCACTGGACAGCCTTGGAGACAGAGGGGTAGTCCACCACAGAACGCAGGAGTTTATCCAGTAGCTGACACAGACCGGGGTAATGGGAGGCCATGTTGTGTAGCTCAGCTGTATCCTTGGAGAGGTCTGATTGGGTGGGGACAGAGCATTAATAGCATTAATGTAGCTGTAACAGAATTACGTGTTATTTTATCATTGATAAAAAAGTATATTGAGTTAAATTTGTGCCAAAAGTTATGCCAAAAAATGCTAAACTATGGTAGGTGTGCACTGCTGCGAGCCACCCTGTAGTGCCTGAAATAATCATTTAAAAGTCAGAGGCACTGGGTCAGATTTTGCGTGACTTTGCGAGGTTGCGAGTATAACCAACATTACACAACATTCTTATGCATGTTGCACAATTCCACCAGAGACATTTCCAAATTTCCAAAATCACATAATACAGCTTTAAGAATCAAAAACATATGTTGCAAATAAAAACAAAGAAATCAAACTTTTTCAATGGATAAAGTCTCTTTACTACACATTTTCCTAGCATTTGCCAGGCTTTGCTTTAATTAGTTTTCAGTTCATGGATTTTCCAATACAAACTTTTGCTTCTGGAATCCTTCATTTACTTCTGCAGTTCTTTTGTTGATGATTTTTGACATTTTTTTTTTAAAGGCAGGTAGGTCTCAGGAGAAGGCATTGACCCTAAAGTGACCCTAGTGAACTGATCTGTCCAAGGTCTACTAGTGAAAATTGCAAAGGGACTGAATATCTTTGGAAAACTTACATTGGGTGTTACTGTTTGCATTTGCAACACATATTTGTGTTTGTGGATTTTGTTATTATTTTTAAAACTTTTGGTACAAATATATCGCAATATGAGTCCTTCAAAAATACTAATTGCTAACAATGCATGAAAAATTGCCAGTAATTAACACTTTACAAATAATAAAAATAATGCCAATTTACTACTAGTATGTAAGCATCTTTGGCTGAATCATCTTCTGAGCTAACTGTGGTAATGGTAATGGTAATGTTTATAGAATTTGATACAAAAATCATGTTTGAGCTATTCTGTCTACATCAGAAGCTTCCAATTCCATCCAGTTTGGCGATTTCCCTGCTCAAATACACGTTAACCCTGGTTAACTAACTGCCAAGTTGAATTAGGTGTGCTTGAGCAGCATTTCAATAAACTGTGCTGATCAAAGCCCTAAAGGACCAGAGCTGAACACCTTTACTCTATATAACATCATTCCCATCCCTTCACTGACAACATATGATCATGAACATGACCAGCATCTCACCAAAGAGTTGTGGAGGGACACTCAATCCATCTGAATAGGTGATGTACTTCCACCGGGCCATCCTCAGCATATAAGTTGAAGCATTAGCATTGCAACCATGGTATTCACTTAGTATCCAGCCAGGGTGAGTGGACTTCTTATTAGCTTGTGAGGCCAGAGGCATCAGAGAGTGACCACTCAGGCCATCTGGTATGTGAACACCTGCAAGATCTGAAAAACATGTAATAGGAAGGATTATTATACATAATAATAAGCAACGGTTTGGTAGGTATTAACATCCTTGCATTCTGTATTTTTGTATTTTTAAGCCTTTCATGAGCTGAGTCAGTTGAGTTACAGCAAGAAAAATATAAGAATATACAGCGGGAAGAGGGTTTGATGCCCAGTGTTACAAATCATATTATAAACATGATAAAAAAACACTTTATTGCAAATCCACCAAGAGATCTACAAACATATTTTTTATTAAAAGGATGATTCCAAAATTAAATGTGCACCATTTCTCCCATATCCAAAATGTAGTCAATCAAACAAGACAAGACTTTTGTCTGAAATTTGCATCTCTATCTTTTAGATAGAGGCTATTGTATCTAACAAGTAATAGATGGTTATGTTCTTCCAATTAGCATTATGGTAACTGCATTCAAAACTCATCACACATTTGCCCCAAAATAGGGATAATTACCTTTCACAAAAATTAAATACATAAACTACTTTATTTCTTTTTTTTGCAGCCAAGAAGCTTTGTTCTGAAATACATTTGTCCACTGTCCAAACCACATTATATATTTGACAATATATTTGATATTACTAACAACTTGATGTGATTTGAGAGGAGCATGTGATCACTGAGGCATGTAGTTGTGCAATGCTAATTGGTGGGATATAAACTTCCATTACTTTTTAACTACATTAGCCATGTAGGCTCTCTTGCCAAACCATTCCTTATAACCATAAGGTTATTTCTTTTGCTACAGCAGCAAGAAAGGCATGTGAACCTTTAATGATGCTGTGGAATGACCTCAAGAGGGCAAGCTACACCAGACAACCAAATTATATGGGTGAACTGAAGCAGTTCTGTGAGGAAGAATGGTTCAATATTCCTCTTAAACGTGCAGGACTGATTCGCAGATAAGGAAATGCTTACTTGAGGTTATTACTGCCAAAGGAGGCTTAACTTGTTATTAAATCCAAGGGTTCACCTGCTTCCAATATGAGTTGATAAGTTTCTCTAGAAATGAGTTGATAAGTTTCTCTAGAAATTTTTCAAATTAAACCACAATGTTTTGCACAGTAAAGACATGAAAAATAGAATTA